TTCAAACCCACCAGCCACTCCTTGGAAGGAAGGTTGGGCAATCCTACTTCCATAGTGATACTGCCTCAGAAACCCAAGGAGGGGTCGCTATGAGTGGGGTTTGACTCGACGGCACATAACAACAACAACAACAACAATAGATCAAGTACTTGTGAGAAGTGATGCTCTGGGTGATCAGATATTTGATACTTTTCTGCAATTTTTTTCAGCATGAGGAGTATAAGGAAGCTGGTTGGTTGGTCTTACTTACACTAGACAAAGTGGTGAAAGAGCAATATGAGCTCAGAGCTGCTGAGTCTTGGCTTAAGTGCCACATAAAAGATCTCAGTGCTTCCAGTTGTGCTGTGAGAGAATGCCTTATATCTTCTAGTAACAGAGCTGATATTGCTGAAAACCAAACCCAGAGTCTTATTTTAAGGGTGGCTGAATTACAACGCCAATTAAATTGCCAACCCAGACAGGTGTCTGACTTTAAAGTGAGAGCATTGATTTGGATGAAATGGGATCCTGAAACCTGGAATGGGGACATATGGACAGATAGTCAGGAAGATCAGGATATGAAGCCTGTAAATTCTGTTGAATGCCTCCCATCTGAATGGATTACTGTAAAACCATGATCCCCTCCACCTCAGTTTGATGGGATTAGCCAAACTGTTCCTTCTGGGTCATTGCCTGAGGCAGAGGCCATGGAAGACATTCCTGAATGCTCTCAGGAACTGCCCCAATCACCCATTGTTGCTGCTAGCCCTATAACTAAAGTTAAGTCCAAGCGAGCCCCAAAAGGTGAAATACAAAGTGTGACTGAGGAGGTAGTATGCTATACCCGAAAAGACCTACCTGGTTTTGCTAACATATACAGACAGAAACCTGGAGAATATGTATGGGAATGGCTACTGAGGGTGTGGGATAATGGTGCAAGGAATGTAAGATTGGATCGGTCTGAGTTTATTGAGTTATGCCCAGTAAGTACGAATTCTTCATTCAGTGTTTCAGCTCTAGAGGTTAGGAAAGGATCTAATAGTTTATTTGGTTGGCTTACTGAGGCATGGATTATGCAGTGGCCTACATTAAGTCCAGTTAAAGTACCAGACCTGCCGTGGTGTAATGTAGAAGAAAGTATCCAGAAGCTTAGGGAAATTGGTCTGTTAGAATGGATTTATCAGATTAGATCCCTAGAGCCAGAAATGGAGAGTCCAGAAGACATGCCTTTTACCAGTATGGTGAGGAATAAATTTGTGAAGGGAGCTCCAGCATTCTTGAAGACTGCTGTGCTTGCTATTTTATGTAAACCTGATTTGACATTGGAAACTGCCCTAATTGAACTAAGACACTTAACTACGACGGGGCTGATTGGACCCCATGGTAGCAGGGGCCATGTGGCAGCAGTTAATCGACAAATGTAAGGTAGGCGTAGTTAGCATAATGGACAGCAGAGTCAGAACAGTAATCAGAACAGTCTGACTCATGTGGAATCATGACATTGGCTATTTGCTCATGGTGTTCCTAGTAGTGAAATACACTGCAAGCCTACTAAATATTTACTGATCTGTATAGACAGAAGAATTCTAGATCATGTGAACAGCAACCTAGATTGAATCACAAGAATACAGAGTCATGACCTCTCAATCAATTCCCAGACTTGAGTCAGTTTGTTGTTGTTGATGTTGTTGTTATGTGCTGTCTAATCGGTCCCGACCCCTCCTTGGGTTTCCGAGGCAGTATCATGATGGAAGTAGATTGCCCCATCTTCCTTCCCAGGAGTGGCTTGTGGGTTTGAACAGCCAGCCTTCTGGTTAGCAGTCAAGTGCCTTAGCCACTATGCTACCAGAGCTTCAGTCAGTTTACAGACCCATAATCCCTTGAATGAAGGGGAGGCCAAGTCCCTTTGAAGAAGGATCCCACTACATTGCCAAAATCTATAATGTCAATCTTTCTCCCAGCTTTCACCAAAGGGATCTGAGGCCTATAACGAGTATCTGTTCACTGGGGAAAAGGAAATAATCAGACTTTTCAGGGTCTACTGGACACTGGCTCTGAATTGACACTAATTCCAGGAGACCCAAAGTGTCATTGTGGCCCACCAGTCAGAGTTGGGGCATATGCAGGTCAGGTTATTGATGGAGTCTTAGCTATGGTGTGTCTCACAGTGGGCCCAGAGGGTCCCTGAACCCATCCTGTAGTGATTTCCCAGTGCCAGAATGCATAATTGGAATAGAAATACTCAGCAATTGGCAAAATTCCTACATTGGGTCCCTGACATGTGGAATAAGTGCTATTACGGTAGGAAAAGCCAAGTGGAAGCCAATAGAACTGCCTCTACCTACAAAAATAGTAAATCAAAAGCAGTACTGCATCTCTGGAAGGGTTGCAGGGTTGCAGAGATTACTGCCACCATCAAGGACTTGAAGGATGCAGGGG